TATACGACTACACAATAGACACCTAAACACTTGCGGGCTCCTTTGATTTAGGGTCAGCAGAAAGCGAGGCTCTCCGCGATAACATATACATAAGAGACACGGGACAAATAACTATGCCTGAGGCAGGACTCGAACACGCGACTCTTTGGACCGAAACGATGAGTCGACACACGGCCAGAGCCACCTCGGTCATTCAGGGCCGCTTATTTATGTCACCAGTGTTAAAAGTGAAATTTTGTTCTGAGAGTAGAAAATGTTGGGACAAGAGACTAATAAGCCGAGTGGCGCAATTACAATAGCACAATAAAATCACTTTTACTACGTTTGTCTTACGCAACTGTTTTAGACGTATTCGATTTTATTCGATATTAATTCAAGTACACAAATGACGTAATGATACATTACGGCCAGTAGTAGCTGATGCGGTCAGACGTATTTTATTTCCTTTGTTGCATTCACAGATTTTCCTTATCACTTGACCATCGTCGGACTTTTAGAACTAGTGAAATATATGGGACTTTTATCATGCTAGACATGATTTGAAAGAAACTCTTTAATAAACTGAAAAAAAAATATTTTTGATTGTTTTTTTCTTATAAGAAAATGATATTACAAAAAATACTGAACAACACAATCGATGACACAAATAATAGATTTGAATAATCATAAACCGACGCGATGGCATCGATTTTGGAACTTTCACCGCAGAAGGTAAGTGTAAGAAGCTGACTACTACCTCATCCGAGCCATATCAATAGTCCACAGCCTCCTTAGTCATCCTCCAACACTATGTAAATGTTAATGTTCTTATGTAAAATACGGATGTTCGTTCTCAAAATAATATAGTACTATTTCTGTATAATTCTACGTTGTATTTATCGTAATATTTCTACATTTCACAACGTGTATGATTGTACAGTATTACCTCACCTGCTTTTCGAAGATGCCTGTCCTCGGGATAATCTCATACCATGTACTTTTTTTCAAGCATTTATTAAAAAATAACCTGAAGTAAAAAATTAAGTGTTAGCAAATAAAGTTGTATGACACGAATTATAGTATGCTTCAGTGGCAAAATATGATATTAATCGCCTTATTAACGCGAAAATTAGCTATCTGCCATAAGTGTCCGCCATTCTCCCGCTCTCTCCTACATCTTGATATTTTTATTCTATATTAAGTATATTTTAAATAAACTGTTCATTTAGGGTCAATTACGTGTAAACAATTCTTGCCAATCTTAGTTCGAATTTATTTTACTTCCTGTTTCATCTACGTAATTTTAGCTTTGAAACTTATAGAAGTTGAAAGTGAAGTCTTATATAGTTCTCTTGAACTTAATAAAATATGATCTATTGAATTTTCAGGAAGTTACAATGGTTAGGATGCAGAAGGTTTTACGCATCGAGGTTGTTTACTTCCATTCTGAAAATTTCTTTAGATTCGAAGCGTCTTATTTCTGAAACTAAAGGGGAAACGTCTATACATGACGAGTGATAAACACAATGATATACAAGCTTAGGAGATACGCACACTATTGGAGAAAATGCATATTATTACGCGGCGTATTTTCAAGTATTTATCAAAATTTTTCTCTTTGTTTTTTCGTGTCTCTATTAAAATAACTAGTTGGATGCATTCATAAGTCACATATGCAACGTGTTGCCCTTTCGCTTACAATCAAATCTGTGTGAAATTCAATTAAACCATTACCCTTCAATCTGAAGAGCAAAGTTCATGCGGTGAGTATGTGTTTAGAAGAGTCAACAGCACTTCGTGAGTTAAACACTCATCAAATAATTACATTAAGTAGCCCCGGCAGGGGAGGTGTTGTGCACACACAGGCCAATAACAACGAGCTACTAATGTTATAAATAAACCATCGGGATTAAATTTAGGCTTAACATTTCTGAATTACATTCTCCCTCATCCTGAGTTCTACCTATCGGTGCAAAAAACAACGATTTTTATTCTCTGTATAGTTAAGTATATGCCCTTTACGTGGTATAGGAGAAATTATGTAATGTTGCGGAAAACCGATTTCGAGATTTCAACGAAAATACACGTTTTGGGGTTCTCTGATACCAAAAACGTGTTGTTTTCTGTAAACGCTCGTCTGTCCGTCCGTCCTTCCGTCCGCCGTCGGTCTGTCCATCCATGCAGTATCTATGAACAGTAATAGCGCCTAAACCATGCATACGATTATTTTCCAAATTGAAGAAACCCTTGTCCATTTGACTTGAGTCGATGCTCAGCGATTGTGAAAATCATTTATTAGTTTTTAGGCGTATTTTACATAAAGCCCTCCGGACATATTAAAGATTTTCAAAAACTCTTGTGGCATGTCAGGGAGAAACGCAAGTGACTTCATATATGAGTGAACTAGGAGGACTCAGAAGTTTTCGTATTGGACTAAAGCTTATTTTTGAATTTTAATAGGGTAGGGTTACCGCGCGGTTCCACTTCTATGGTTATTTTGTCCCATAAGAGAAGTGCACTTTACATCCCGACGGATGGCAATGCTCCTTTTCCACTGCAATGTCGGTCCGCCGATCTACCCGTAATTGATTCGATTTTTCAGTGATTCCGGACGCACCACCTGCTGCCATCAGTCTCATTATAGGATTTTTAACGGGCTAGGTTGCGGTGATATTACCCCGCTGGATGTCGAGATCCGGCACCAACCTACATGTCGGCTTGTAGGGTTTCCCTCCTCCAAGTATCTCCCACCTGCGGGGCACCGCCCCATCCGTGGGACAAGCTCTAATCTCCCAGGCATGTGTTATTGTGTAGCGCGTGTAAGTATAAGTGTAAGAAAGGGGTGAGGAGAGGGCATCACGAAGAACGAAAGATCACGCGCGTTCTATTGTTTGTGAGGGTTCTGTTCCACCATTCGCCTGATGTAGATAGAAGAAACCACGGAAAACTGCCGATCAGAGCATCCGATAGCTAGTAGTCTTCTCCAGACAGCAGCTGAATTCGCCTTAGCTATCTACCAGGTGTCGAAGATGCTGCCACAGCCGGGACTAGCACCCTAGCGCCTCCCGATCATTCGCTATGCAATAACATCAATTTAAGAGAGCCCTGAGACAACTATGCCATTGATCTACTCGTGAGCTTACTGGGTTCCTCCATCAAGTACCTTCTCCTGTTGATAGATTGTTTGATAGTGATTCCGGGCACGTTAACTACTAGGGTTAACAGTCCTGTACGTGTAGTGCATGTTTTTCTAGGGAGATGGCTGTGGTCTTTCACCCGCTGTATGGCGAATGTGTGGCGCTGACCTAACGTCGGCTAGAGGGGTTTTCTCACAACCAGGTATCTTCCATCAGCAGGGCACCGCCCCAGCAGGGACTAGCTCGAAGCCCCGGCCAGTCTCCCGGCATATGTGGGAGTGTAGTGCATGTTAGTTTTATAGTGTGTAAGTGGCGACGATAGAACAAGGAAGGGGAAGGTAAGATTACTATCCGCGGCCCGATTGTTAAGGTACTTCTCCTGCATTCGCCTGGTGTTGATCGGAAAAAACACGAAAAACGATCAGAGCAGCCGACAGCAGAATTCTCCTCCAGACAGCGACTGAATACGACTTAGCTAACAGGCTTGTGTCAAAAATACTGTCACTGTCGGGGCTTAAACCTAGAACCTCCGGTGAGAGGGACTGCAGTGATAAACTGATATAACTGCAGCCCCTCTGACCTAGGTCCTAGGTTAGTACCGCGACTGTGTTGAGACATCTCTCCGTGTACCGTTACTGCCGAGGCACCGTCTACGTAGGGATAAACTCTAAGCTCCTGGCTTCCGACTTGTCTCGTAATGTAGAGCTTGTGTGTCTGTAAGGAGGCACAAGTAAGTTAAGAAAGAGAAAGGAAAGATCGCGCCCGTTTCATTTCCCGTGTTTTGCTTCGAGATGCGCGTGGCATTGTTAGGAGAAACAACGGAAAATTATTATTGAGATCACTAACCACTTTAATTCCTTTCTAGACATTGGTTGACTTGTGTAACGTATTAGCCAGCGTGCCTCATGGCATCTATTTGGGGACGCTTGGTTGCGGATTAGTCNTAATAAATATATTGGTATACGAAAGCTCTGTGTCTGTGGTCGCTGTGAGTATCCATGACGTCACACTTGGATGTATCCGTTGGCTTCTGTAAGTCCGTTACCGTTGGTATTCGAACCCTAGAAACTTCCAGTCAACAATGGCGCAGATGGAACGGCGTTGCCACCCTACCATTGCTGCATGTATGGATACTCTCGAGCAGTGATTGCACTATAAATGAAATCTCGTGCGAGTCCGGTATACGATATGACCCTTTTTATATTCATCTCAAACTCCACTACGTTGACGAAATTTTTCATTCTTGAATCCGCCTTACGACCTCGTCGACTTCATAAACCACTGCAGTCAGTCGTAAAGTGTAAAATAAACATCAATTCACCCTCCTGCGAAAAACTGTTTTGGAACTTCTAGCACGACCGTTGAAGAAGACTTTACGAAGGGGTCGTTTACCGTTTCCATGAATCAGTTTTTATATTGATAACTCATTTCACAATTCTTTGCACCTTTTATAGATTTCATTCATAAAACATTTTGAAATTTAAATCAATGTAATTTAATGAAAAAATACCACAATTCTTCTGTCAAATGGATTTTATTTTAAGAAAAATGTCTAATACAAACGTCATTCACTGCTGCGGTTCGAATAGCTTTGTTGTGAAGCAAAATAACTCAATATAACCATGATACACAACCATAATAGTAAGAAAGGTTATGGAATAACTTAGGCGGCGATAGGTAGCATCTGTGACAAAAATGGGATAAATATTGAAAAGGGTGATTAGGCAGCGGAGATTGGAAAACTAAGTAGTGCAAGGAAGCTTATGTCATTCAGTAGCGCCAGTATCTCACTTTGATCCAATTTGGATACACAATTTACCGTATGGATCATTTCTAATATGATTAGGAAAATTAGTGTTTATTTTATTGAAATTATTTTTAAAGTTAAAAGGTCTGGAATTTTTCAGAGAACGTCCAGTCATTTTCTTCATAAGCTTAGGTAATTTTCTGTATTAATTTATTAGTATTCGCTATCGGGTTTTTTAATAATAAACATCGACAACGGGATTTCAAGTTCACAATATGTGGGAAAATGTGAGTTGCACAGACATATATTCGTTTTATGGCAACCGCTTTTATCAAAGATGTAGCCTCGTCACCACGCACAGCAATTTTATTAAACTCTGAATTGTTCGAAATAAATTTCTTGAGAAATTCTGAAATTCACAATGGTCCTCTCAAATAAATACAGAGACCATCACATTGGTTATAAGCCATTTATGATTATTTTTCTATCGACAAACGTTATTCACATATATTTAACTTGTGTTATTCTTTTAAATTATAATTTAAATGAATAACTTAATGATTTATGTGAATATTATATCTTTGGAGATTAACTCCTGGCAATGACAATGAAGTATTATTGTTGTAAAAGAACTTTAAAATCCTGAAAAATGTACAATTGAATAGTTAAAATATAAATATTAATAAAGAAATTCAAGCATCAACTGCTCCCAAAAATAAAATAGGTGACTTTTCTGGTTCTATCTCTCTCGGAGTACAAAGCAAGGTATATTTCTTACGCAGTGCTTGAAAAACCATGATTTTATTCGCCATATTTTCGTAGTAGTGAATCGATTCACGTGGGGCATGTTAAGGGATAAGAGCTCATCTCTTTTATCTACTCGACAGTGAACAGACACGGTGGGTTAACTGATAGTGCAAACGGGGTCTTCACATTATTTGCTGTTTATATATGTTACTGTCTTACGTAGGTATCCGCTTGAACTGTTAAATTTAAAATTAAAATAGTTTACCAGTGAACCGTATGTAAAGGAAAACACTTTGTGTGCACCTCCAAATTAAATGTCTCCGCTAAAATTGAAGTTATTGTTTTGCAAAATGACATTTTTTAGATGTTTTGTTTACTTGTGCACAGACGGTATGCGATATCATCCAGTTTTAATTTATTATTAACCGTGTTACCGTGAAATCACATAAATACCAGAACTCATAACCTTTAGTTCTTTAAATGATTTCAATTTTGTAACATTTCTGCGAAAACCATCTTAAAATGTATTACACAATTATAGGGATTAAAGGAGCACCATTAATTACCTCCTTTCATGGAGAATCAATAAAATTCATTAAAGAAGAATAGAAAGAAAACGGAAGACGACAGAAGTATTGTTTATGGCTCATGAATTTCCATTTCAATGATCGTCTTCAAAAGTTACAAGCCATTTCTTTTCTCGTTTGGTAAGCGCCGTAGAAAGAAATCACCAGAAATCCGAAGGTAATAATTCCGGAGTCCAGCGAGTCGCAGCCATAAATTTCCTGAGGAGAACGACAATTTTCCAAATGGACAAGAGACTACCTCTGGGACAAAGGACGCGACCTGGCCGCATTGAGGCGAAGCACCGATCTATCGTGAAGACGACGGGTTGCAACACTAAGCAGAAGAGGTAATGGAATGGTCGTTATCTTGCCAACGTTGGGATCACATTGGCTTCCATGCTCAGTACCACAGAGCATCAACTGATGGCACTGCAGTGCCTCTGACAGGGAGGTCCTAGGGTATATATTCATTCCCTGCAAATTAAATGCTGGAATCGTAAATTAAATATTATTTTTATAAAAGCACTTAAAATCCCTGAAAATTGTACGATATAATAGGTAGAGTATACACATTGATAACGGCGAACATCAATCTCGCCCAAAAACAAAATAGGTTGTTTATATGACACTATTTAAATCGGGGTAATTCCTATTTATATTAAGATATATTTCTTACGCAGTGCTCGAGGGTATATGATTGTATTCGCCATATTTTGGGAGTAGTGAATCGATTCCTTCACGAGAGATATGTTAAGGAATAAAAGTTAATCTCTTCTATCTACTCGACAGTGAATAGACACGCTGGTATTATTCGTAGTGCAAACGGAATCTTCACATTATTCACAGTTTATATAAGATACTACTCAATATCCGCTTGAACTGTTCGGTTCATTGATTGAGTGATTAGTTATTCTAGGTGCGTCAACTGCTAAGGGCATTAGAACCGTAAGTGTAGTGCATGTTTTCCCCTAGGGAGAACGTGATATCCGCTCGTTGGGTGGTGAGTTCTGGCGCCGACGGACTGTTTTCCACAAACAGGTATCTCCCACCAGCAGTCCCGCCTGGGGAGCAGAGCACCTCCCCAGGCGGGACAAGCTCTTAAGCTGCAGATTTAAGCAGAAGAATCTTGCCGGTGAAAATATTTTCTACGCAGCTAGGACAAATGTAGCCGGTGCCTGGATGAGAATCTAGCGGCCGGCTTGCATTTTTCCGTGGTTTATCCCATCAGTATCAGGCAAATGTCGGAGCAGTTCTAAAACAAACGGACCACGGTCCGCGCACGATCTTTCCTTCCTATTGCTTGTTCTAGCTTCACCCCATAGTTACACACACACACATACATGCACCATGTACATACTTACAAGTGCTACACTACCACACATACCGAGTGAGTAGAGATTGTCCCATATGGGGCAATGATTCACTGGGAAGAGATACCTGGATCGAGAAATCCCCCGCTCACTAGTCGACGTATAGGTCAGCGCATTATATCGCCGTTCATAGAAGTGATAAAAAATGCTCTATACATTTCGGTGCTAATGGCCTTTGAAATTGATGCGTTAGGAAACACTAAATAATCAATCAATCCAAGCTCATTAGGCATATTTAATAAGTAAAAAGAAATCAAATACCCAAGATCAGAACTGCATTTAACGAGATGGCTTTTCATGGCACCCATCCTACATAGTTATGCCAGCGTATGGCGGCGATATTTTCGAAGAATTAATAGAAAAATTTTCTACAAAAATAATCTCCAGTTTACAATACTAAGAAAGAAACGGAAAGTAATGGAAAGAACACGTTTAATATTTTCTCCTTTAGAATGAGATTGGTCATGAAACATCAATGAAACACGTTTTAAAACTAAATACAAACATATTTTTTAAACAATGAAATTGGGCATAGACATGGGAATTTAACCTGTACACACATGGAGTATATTGTTTAATGCAATATATTTAATAATCATACTCAGTCATTTGATAAGTGAAATCGCATTATCTCATTAACACGCATTAGATTAATTGGGCACACTGTGATCTCATATTGGTTTATTACATAAATCTGCATGACAGCATTTCCTTTAATCTATTGGTACGACTACCTTTGTTTTACAAATGTTGGTGATCAACATTTATGAGATGTAAAATTGTCGAAGCCAACGTTTTCACTAAAAAGGATACCAAGACATCCCCGTCTCGCATCCCAGACGTAAATGTAAAAATCTGGCCCCTCACTTTGCAAAGATAAAAATATAATTATATAAATGAAAATGTATGAATAGGTGGAAGGATTTATGCATAATTATTTTATCGCGATCCACATCCTTTAGTTTGATACATACACCGATGTATTCGGGTTATACCTAAAGACTTCAATTATATTTTAATTCTGATAAGGAATACGTTTATTTTAGTTTTATTTGGCATCATAAAAGTGTCAAAATTTGTAATAAGCGAATGTGCCATAGAGAGAGATATTTTTAATTGATAATATAAAATATATAAAAACACTAACAGAATAAGATAATGATTGCACAAGAATATATTAGAAACACATAACCGAGGGAAAAAATACTAAGGATTTAAATCACCCATTAAATATTGTTACAACTTCGAAATATATACTAGAGGTCAGGGAATGAGTTTCAAATAATGGTGTGACTTTATTGTTTTTCAAATTTATTATTTATGTTTTATATAATTACACGCAAAATTGTATAATGACACTTTTTTATTTAATTTCATGTACATTAAAGCGGCAAACATTTAACTCTATTTTTAATTTATTTTCTACCAACTGGTACATAGTAATTTTTGGTACATTTTCTGTTATGAAGATGATTGTTACACGACGGACAATGGAAGTAAATCAAATGAAAACATAATTCCTAAGCAGCACTGCCTTCATTCATTAGCCTTTCACGTGTACTACATATTCGAGGTGGCTGTGGTTTGTACGCCCGAACGTTGCGTTCACATAGTCGTTACATCCCATCCATTGCGATATTCTAGCAGCTCAACTCACCAGTGCCCCTTTAACTGAAAATTATTGATTTCAATTTGTCTGATAGCTCTTCACGCCATCTGGAGGTCAAACGCTGACAACTGGAAACCAACTTCATTTCCCAACTTGAGTTCCCACCTCCGGAGCACTGGATTAAAGGGCGGGTTATGGAGACCCCGCGAAATAGGCCCACAATTAAGCTCCAAATTTGATGCACCAAAACTCAATTAGCCCAAAGTGGTGGCATTGAAGGGGCACTCTCACTGGGGAAGGACAGTGCAAATAATGTTGGAACCGCGGTGTTAATTTTCTTTTGGGTCTGTCCGTGTCCGGAAGTAAATTAACTGGGATGAGGTGCCGTACTTCCGAGTGCAGTAGCGTACTATTGGCGCTCGTTTTATCTTGGTGTCTGAGCTCTCTCCTCTAGAAAGACCCATTTCGGAGTGGTCAAAAGCCTTCCTCTCACAAGATACAATACGGCACGATTATCAGGGTTACTAATTACTCCATGCAAATTAATTCAGTTCCCACTATTTTGTTGCTTGTTTATTTTATTTACTATTTATGCAAGTAAAGTCATGGCAATAGAACTTCTTTTACAGTTGAAATCGTACCCTTCGGTGGATCGTGACATACGAGTGCTCTTGACTGTCCGGGTGACGCTGCGTCGAAGGCTGTAATTGGGTCGTTTCGACCACCTTGTCGTGGCCTTCCTCAGGGCTAGCCTGCTAGATCCAACAGTTTGCAGCTCTCTTCCCAATACGTTGACACATAAAGAAAACGTTCTTGCTTGTGTGTTGTTTTTTTGTAATGTGCTCTTGGAGGTTCATCCGTTGGCCAACTGCAGCATGTAAGAAATTACTCGGAATTTCT